AAAAAGAAAACGCAATTATTCATACGATGAGCACTGATTATTTATTGGATTCTTTCATCTCTGCAATGCAATATATCCTGATGGAATAGCCATGTGTTATCTCTCCGTTCATAACTTAGAAATGACACATCTCGAGAGAAATCAACAGAACAGAAAAAATATAATACGGTCATATAGAAAAAAAAGAGAAAAATGCCCATATAATTATATATGCGATTAATATAGCGAGCAAATATATGATTTGTTTGCTTACAAGTAGTATAGACTGAATTCTCATTCATATCGAAATAATTACAAAATATTATAAGTTTAATAATTCAATTCTTTGAAGTAGTTTCATTTTGGTAAGTTAGTCTTTTGAAATAATATAAAAAATGAGCAAAGAAGAATCATGCATAATGACTAACTTGAGAATGAAAGTGATGATGATAACAGTTTAAGATAGGAATTAAATGAACATGACGATGCACTTGAGTGAAGTAGAGATCAATATATCATCCATTTTAAGTGTGAAGTAATAAGTTTAAATGTATGTTTAATCTTCGACTGTGAAAAAACATCACTAGAATTGTTTCAATTTTTATTTAAAACTAAAAGTACATTAGCTTATCAGTGAGATTTCATTGTACTACAAATTTCTTTTTAGATTTCTTTAACTAGTTGTGTGAATAATGACTGAACATCCTTTCGGATTCACATATCCACGTTTCCTCTTCTTATGATTTTCCTCCGTTTCTCTTCGCGTGAAAGGAAGTAGTACATCGCCCTTGATGTTACGTAATATAATAATACTATCACGAATACATTATTAGACTGAGTGACAGCTTCGTTAGCGATGTTCTATCTCTTTCTCTATTCTATTTTGTGTGCGTATATAAAGTGAGTATTTTCTGTTAGAAAGAGAGAATTGGAAAAATGTAGTAGTGTGCGTGATGAACATGTTATATACTGACGATAGCAATAACGCCACTTTCAATTTCTCTTTGCGATCACAAATAAAATAAAGTCCGCAGCACGTAACAAATATTCTATCCTTATTCGTCAACATCTCATATATTCATTTTAAAATTCGTTACACTACTGAATAATTTTTTTATTATCAATGAGTTATTAAGTTCATATCTAGAAAAGTAGATAAATACATTCCTTTTTTCTAGAAATTTATATTCGAACACATGGCAATGACAAAAAATAAAACACATTGTTTTACCTGTAATAAAGACAAAATAACATATCTTTGCGAAGGATGTGTGAAAAACTTTTGTTTAATGGATTTAACAAAACATCGTCAGCTATTAAATGAAGAGCTGTATCATATTATTAATGATTATAATCAATTTAAACAAATATTTAATGAACAAAAACCAAGTTCACATGATCTTTCTTTAATAGATCAAATTAATCAATGGCAGAGAAATTCGATTGAGAAAATTAAACAAAAAGCAAAAGATTCCATAGAAAATGTCATAAAATCTTCACAAGCACTTTTAAATGATATTGAAATAAAATTTAATGATTTAAATGAACAACTAAAACAAATTCATAGCGAAAATGAATTTAATGAGATTAATTTGAATTATTTAAGAAATGAATTAACAAAAATTAGAGAAGAATTTTATCATCCACGAAAGACTTCTATTGAAAAAGATTTACAAGCATTTACTAATGATATTTCAATTATTCCATTAGAAAAAAGTAAGTTGGTAAAAGTAGAGACAAAAATGCTATTGATTTATTTGTATGTAAAGAACTGGATTATTTTCAATTTTTGTTAATTATTCTAACAAAAATCTAATTTTATAATGATCACAATAAATTATCAATTGATTTCTTTATTATTTTCATTGAATAGATCATTAGAAAATAAAGTTATCCTATAGAATCTATGTGATACTCACATAGTAGAAAAGAAATAAATGACATACTATATAAATGAGTTTGTGATTATTAGGAAATGTGATGTTTTATTTTTCTATTTATATTATGTTAACATATATATTTAATATACAAAGAATGAAAAAAAACAAATCAAACTTCATCAATAAAAGTTTCATGAATTTGACATTAACTATTAGAATAACTCTGTATATATTTTATTTTCATTAGTTTATTGCGATTTCAGGTGACATTCTTTCATTACTTGACTTTTATTATAGTTGTTCTTTATTCTTTGATATTTTCAACCTATTGATCACTATAGTCAAAGAAATATGTTTGAAAAATAATATTTTTCTAAATAGTCGTATTAAACTTGTAAGTTAAAATAAATAATAAAATCTTTTTCTCCTTTTCAATTTCATTTCTTCTTGTTTCTCTTTTCATCAAAATCGTCTATTTTCATTTTATTCTAGAATCAAAATTCAACAATTGGAATAAAAATGCCATTACTGTGGCTGGTGGAAACGGATATGGAGAGAAATTAAATCAACTCAATTGCCCTGTGGGAATCTTTATTGATAAAAACAAAAATATTCTCATTGCTGATTGTTCAAATTATCGTATTGTTGAATGGAAACAGAACACAACACAAGTACAAATCATTGCAGGTGGAAATGGCAAAGGAAATCGAATGAATCAATTGAATTATCCAACAGATGTGATTGTTGATCAACAGAATCATTCGATCATCATTGCTGACTGGCAAAACAGACGAGTGATTCGATGGTTGAATCAAAATCAACAAATTCTCATTGACAATATCGATTGTAGTCACTTGACAATGGATAAACATGGACTTCTTTATGTTTCTGATTATAAGAACAATGAAGTGAGACGATGGAAAATTGGTGAGTATAATGAAGGAACTATAGTTGCAGGTGGAAATGGAAAAGGAAATCAACTTAATCAACTTAATTTTCCTGCCTATATCTTTGTGGATGAAGAACAATCTATTTATGTATCAGATCAAAACAATAATCGTGTGGTAAAATGGAGAAAAGATGAAAAAGTAGGTAGAATTGTGGCTGGAGGAAATGGTAAAGGAGAAAAGTTGAATCAACTGTCTTCACCTCAAGGATTAATTGTTGATGATGTAGATCAGATTTATGTGGCAGATAGTGGGAATGATCGAGTAATGCGTTGGTGTGAAGGAAAAGAAGAAGGTGAAATTATTGTTGGTGGAAATGGTTACGGAAATCAATCAAATCAATTGAATCGTCCCACAGGTTTATCTTTCGATGATGAAGGAAATCTTTATGTTGGCGATAATTCAAATCATCGAATTCAAAAATTTGACTTAATCTTGTAAATAAAATTTTGATTTTGTAAAAAGAAGAGTAATTTTTTGTTAAATAAATAATGTAGAAATGATAATAAAAGAAAAAGTGAAGTTTTATTGCTGAAAGTATTATTTTTCTCTATTTTATTCATTTTTCAATGTTGTTTCGTTATGAAACACTTAAGATTCATTTGATCAAAAAGAAAACGCAATTATTTATACGATGAGCACTGGTTATTTCTTGGATTCTTTCCATCTCTGCAATGCAATATATCCTGATGGAATAGCCATATGTTATCTCTCCGTTCATAACTTAGAAATGACATATCTCGAGAGAAATCAGCAAAACAGAAAAAATTTAATACGGTCATATAGAAAAAGAGAGAAAAATGCCCATATAATCATATATGCGATTAATATAGCGAGTAAATATATGATTTGTCTGCTTACAATAGGTAATGATTGAATTCTCATTCATATCAAAATAATTACGATATATCACAAGTTTAACAATTAAATTCTTTGAAATAGTTTCATTTTGGTAAGTTAGTCTTTTGAAATAATACAAAAAATGAGCAAAAAAGAATATTACATAATGACTAAAATGAACATGACGATACAGTTGAGTGAAGGAGAGATTAATATATCATCCATTTCGATAGTAAAGTTATAAGTGCATATCTGTGTTTAATTTTCAACTTTGAAAATACGTTACTAGAATTGTTTGAATTTTTATTTAAAATTAAAAGCACATCAATTTCTATTTCTTTTACTACTGCACAATGTTTCTGTTATCATTGAGTTTACATCTAGGAAAGTAGATAAGAAAATATTCATTTATTTTTAGAAATTTATGTTCAAAGACATGGCAATGAAAACCAATAGAACACAATGTGTTATATGTAATAAGGATAAAATAACATATCTTTGTGAAGGATGTTTGAAAAACTTTTGTCTAATGGATTTAACAAAACATCGTCAAATATTAAATGAAGAACTACATCATATTATTAATGATTATAATCAATTTAAACAAGGATTTAATGAACAAAAACCAAGTCCACATGATCTTTCATTAATAAATGAAATTAATCAGTGGGAAATGGATTCAATTATAAAAATTCAACAAAAAGCAAGAGATTGTAGAGAAATTGTCATTAAATCATCACAAACATGTATTAACGATATTGAAAAGAAATTTAATGATTTAAATGAACAACTAAAACAATTTCAACAAGAAAACGAATTTAATGAAATTAATTTAGAATATTTAAGAAATGAATTAATAAAAATGAGAGAAGAATTTTATCATCCATCAGTTATATCTATTGAACAAGATTCTCAACCATTTATTAATGAAATTTCAATTATTTCATTAGAAGAAAGTAAGCTTTTAAAAAATAATTTCTAAAAGAAAAATTCAGATTTTCTATGAATTTTTATTACAAAACTATAAAAATAAAGAAAAGTGATGACAAAGAAGATACAGAAATCGACAATATCAATATAAATAGAGAACTAAACATATTTGTATGTAAAATAAAAGTTTACTACAAAACTTTTTCTTCGAAGTTTCAAAAGAAGTTTGATTGATAACAACAAAATTGTATTATTTTACAGTTCTTGAGAAATCAGGAAAATAAAATACAATTTGTCTCTTTATGAGATGTATTTATTAACGCTTCATTCAAAATTAACCTTTTCTTTTTTCTTCTTCTTTTCATCAAGACCGTTTATTTTTATCATTTTCTAGAACCAAAACTCGGTAAAGGGAAACAAAATGCCGTCACTATAGCTGGTGGAAATAGAAAAGTAAAAGAATTAAATCAACTGAATCATCCTGAAGGAATCTTTATTGATAAAAACAAAAATATTTTCATTGCTGATCATGATAATCATCGTATTGTTGAATGGAAATATAATGCAAAAGAAGGACAAATCATCGCAGGTGGAAATAAACAAGGAAATCGCATAAATCAACTGAGTCAACCAACAGATGTGATTATTGATCAACAAAACCATTCGATTATCATTGCTGATCGTGGGAACAGCCGAGTGGTTCAATGGTTTAACCAAAATCAACAAATTCTTATCGACAATATTTACTGTTATGGCTTGGCAATGGATAAATTTGGATTCCTTTATGCTTCTGATAGGACGACGAATGCAGTGAAACGATGGAAAATGGGTGAATACAACAACGAAGGAATTGTAGTAGCAGGTGGAAACGGAAAAGGAAATGAACTCAATCAACTCAGTTCTCCTACTTTTATCTTTGTTGATGAAGATCAATCTATTTACGTATCAGATAGATACAATCATCGCGTTATGAAATGGAGAAAAGATGCAAAAGAAGGAACAGTTGTGGCTGGGGGAAATGGTCAAGGAAGAAATCTCAATCAATTGTCTTACCCTCGAGGTGTAATCGTTGATGATTTGGATCAAATTTATGTAGCAGATTCTAGCAATAATCGAATAATGCGTTGGTGTGAAGGAAAAGAGGAAGGTGAGATAGTTGTTGGTGGAAAGGGTGAAGGAGATCAATTAAATCGTCCCATGGGTTTATCTTTTGATGATGAAGGAAATCTTTATGTAGCTGATTATGAAAATCATCGAATCGAAAAATTTAAATTAATCTTGTAAATAAAATTTTGATTTTGTAAAAAGGGAAATAATTTTTTGTTAAATAAAAAATTGATAAATAAAAATAAAAGAAAAAGTGAAGTTTTATTGTTGAAAATCAATGAAAATGAACAAAAAGGATGTGAGTATGGTTGATAAACACAATACTTTCAGTCCACTCACTCTCACGATGCATAAAATGTTGCTAATACCAAATTCTGTTCAATAAAGAATTTACTTCATTGAACAAATAATATGCCTTTTTGGTGTCGATTCCATTATGTCGAAGGTCGAGAGTGGTGAGTGTCTATATTGTAACATAATGATGAATTCATACTAGATACAAATAAAACTTATTTCACCATGTTATTCGGAAATGCAGAAGCTAGATATTGTGCTCCTTCAGTACCGATGCCATTGGATCGCAGATCAAGTGTGATGAGTGTCTGTATCGAAATTTAATGATATATTTATAGTTAATGGGAAAATCTTTGTCTCACTGTGTTACCCTGTAATGCGTGAGCTAGATATTGTGCGCCTATACTACCAATTTGGTTTTCTCGAAGATCAAATGTTATAAGTGTCTGTACTTGAACAATGGTGAATTAATAATAAAAACAAAAGGAAAATTTACCCTACCTTATTACTTTCCAATGCCTGGGCAAGATTTTGTGCTCCATTAGCACTAATTTTGTTGCTACCGAGTTTAAGTATTTTGATTGTCTGTTTTCAAACTTTATCTTAATTTTTTAGTTGAGGAGAAGAAAACTTATCTCACTGTGTTTTTTTGCAATTCATAAGCTAAATAATGTACTCCTGTATCACTAATATAATTCCATCCAAGATCAAGAATGGTAAGTGTCTATATTCAAATAATAATGAATTTCTAATGAATGGAAAGAAATATTGTCTCACTCTATTTTTTTTTAACGCTGATGCAAGATATTGTGCTCCTTTGGCACATATATGATTTCTTTCGAGATTGAGCATAGTGAGAGACTGTAATGAAACATAAAAGTGAATGTATCGTTAATAAGCGAAAATTTATCATACCGAATTATTCTGTAACGCTTGAGCTAGATATTCTATTTCTCTAGCACCGATATTATTTTTTTCAAGATTAAGCGTAGTCAATGTCTATATTAATACATAGAGATAGATTCATATAGTTAATGAAAAAAAACAAGCGTGTCTGACCGTGTTATTCTGCAACATTTCAGCAAGATATCGTATACCTTCAACTTGAATTTTATTGCATTCAAGATTGAGTGAAGTGATTGTCTGTATTGAAATATTATAATGAATATACGGTCGTACTGTCGCAAAAACTTCTCTTACCGTATTACTTTGTAATGCGTGAGCGAGAAGTTGAATTTTTTTATGATTTAGTAACTGACTTCCTAGTTTCAGTTCGGTGAATGTCTATAAAAATAAATTAATACTAAACGATGTTTTAACGGCAAAAGTAAGACTATAATTTACCCCGTATTGAGTATAAGTACTGATAATGATATTAAAACGTGTGCATACATTTTGAATTGATAAAAAAATATCTAGTCGTTCAAAATTATCCAATATTCGATAGACTAATTCGACGGGTAATGTTAGAAAAGATGAATTCATTTTGTCGTGTATTATTTTTTTTCTAAATTTTATTATAATGTATGTTATATACTCATCAAAGCTTGTTTTTATGTATTTTGAGTCATACATTTCTTGTGCTTGTGCAATGTCGTATGAGGGTGTAAGATTTGGATTTTTTCTGCCGATTGTCAAAAAAGCAGAAGATAAGCACTACATGAATCATTTGAAGAAAACGAGAAAAAAAAATATGTGGATGCAATTAATAAAAGAATATCGACATTTATATTCATAAAATATGACAGTCTTTCAAGAGGATTTTTCTTTGTTCATTATTTAGGATAAAACAAGTTATCTTTTTAAAAAATAAACGAAATATTTATTTGAATTATGAATTTAAAGTATTTTTTTATATTTTAATATAAATACAAAATACTGATTATTATAATCGATTGTCTATTGAAATTTGTTACTCAGTTGGACAACACGGAGTAGACAATGAATGATCTTCAGATGAAGTGTTGATCAACGGTGTTATGTCTGTTGTTAAAGACTGAATTTGAGTTCGGTTTCGAATTCTAATAATACCAAAAATAAAATGTCCCAAAATTAAACCAGATAGAAGAGCAATAAAAATACCAATATCATATGTCATTACTAATAACATCAAACAATAAGCAAATAACATATGAATTCCATATGATAATGATATACACAATTGTTGAACAAATATAGATGACCATACATTTGTTTTTTGTACTAATAGATGTCGATTATATATTATTATTTCATTGAATATTCCCATACAAAATACAATAATA